ATATATGTGTGTGTGTGTGTGTGTGTGTGTGTATGTGTGTGTGTGTGTGTGTGTGTGTGCCTGTCTCTGTGTGTATACATCTGTTTGTGTCTTATTTCTGTGCGTGTGAGTGTGAATGTGTATACATGTGCTTGTGTGTACGTGTGGGGGGGTGAGGGAGAGAGTGAGAGAAAGTGTGCATACGTACGCCTGTAAGTGAGTATATTTTCGTTTATGGGTATGTATATATAATTTCGCGTTTATGTTTTTGTGTGCTTGTGTGTGTGTGTGTGTGTGTGTGGGTGCGTGGTCATGTATATGAGTGGAAACTCGAGTATGTTGAACACAGGAACAATGTAAATTACACATTACTGGGATATACACGGATAGTTAACAACGACATCGAAAAGTAAAAGTAAAACATACAAATTGACTCTATATTGTCGTAGTACAAACGATTCCAGGTATGTGAAGCGCTCTTCTCTATTTCTGTGCCTCCTCGCGTTGTTATACGCATTATTCGAGTTACCCTTAGCTTCTAATTTCACCCCCAATAGTGCTGTGACAGCACTAATCGTGTCCGACAGAATATCCCCCATATTGATCTATCAATTTCATTCCCAAGGTTTGTATTGGAAGCAAACAAAGTATATTAGCAACAGCCGCTATGAAGGTAAACGGAATATGCTGCTGTGAAGTATATCGCTAGTGGCCGCAATGAATGTGGACCACAGTACGACACAAGTACAAATCAAGTCTGTTATCACTATTATCAGTGTATGTAATTTGGAACAAGCAGATGTCAGATAACGCCACAGATATACGTCATCATGTCATATTCACATGCCCAGCAAATAAATACGTCATATCATAGTGTTTTTATTACTAAAAAATGTTAATGTTATAAAAAACCGCTAGAATTTCATATGTATTTCATCAGAATGCGTGACTGCATGTTTCGTGGTTGTTCTGGCAGTGAGAGCATGTTTCGTGGTGTAGTTGAATTTGTCTGCAATATACATAGTAATAATAGCCTTCCGCAGGCCAACAAATTCTTGTACTAAGGACCGAAATTCGTATTGCCAAATACAAAGTTGGCGTTGGGAGCTCTATCAACTCGTATGACATATTGTTGCAAGGTCAGATATTCTCGGGACTGACCAGCACAGGGACATATAAATGATCATGCAGGAAAATTAACAACAAAATGTCGAAGAAAAGCCTAAGCAATAGGGCAAGGAGGCTGAAACGAACATACCGCAGTCCAAACAGCCGAATCTGTAGATACATCCAGAAACTTTCCCAGAATCTCAAGTGATGAATATTCCAGTTCAATATGTGCAAAAGTGTATGAATCGCGCAGAGGACTAGTACTTGCAGCTAATATTGTGCTAACGCATCTATCATCTCTTGATGTCGTTTGGAGCATCATGTACCAACGATTTGTTTACGTATGTAGATATGTAAGTCTGTGGCCAAAAATTTGCCCTGCATTCTTATCTTGAGAAGGGGTTCGCTGTTAACACTTTTCTCCTATGTATTCCAAGCTAAAATTAATATGCTTTGTTTGCGTGGAATACGAAGTCGGTTTACAGTACAACTCATGATTCGTGACGGCGAAATGTCTATCTTCGAACACAAAGAAGTCTCACATCCCATGTTGAAGGTCTTATTGTTTTACTATGATTGCTCGATATACTCGATACATGTTAGTCTCAGGATTGTGCCTCCAATTATTCAGCTTGCGTCAGAACAGTAAAGTACCAATAGTATTATTGTGAAACGAGTTTCTAGTGTTAACGATGAGAAACTGCCAAGGCTCAGAACTCCTGTATATATACAAGTATGCTATGGTTCTGTTCTTTGTAGACTGTTGGATTCAAGATTGCAGCAGGTATGTTTTCATGTTGTAGGGTCATGGGTAATACTCCACCAAATCACCAACGTTATGTGTCACAAAATTTAAAAATCGAGTCTTGGTCCATTGCAGGCTGCACAGAGTGCACACACACAAGAAGACTGTGACTCTCGAGAGTGTGAGACTGTGAGACTGTGAGCCGCGAGGCTCTATAAAATTATTCTCTCGCGGTGCCTGAACAGTTGGGTCTTGGGAGTTGACTTGGTTGACTTGTCACCTGTTTATTTAAAACAAAAAAACAATAGAGTTGTATGTATAAACGGTTCAAACTTCAGACTTCAAATTGATTCTCGAAATGACAAAGAAATGTATATCGTTTTGACCTTTTTATATATCAACTGATATGAACAACTAATAGGCTGTCGCCATGATTCCAGCTCAAATTATCCCATCTTTTCAAAACACGGCATCTCCAACACGAAACACAAAATCTCCGACTATCGAAAAGTTGTTGGCTTGTTGGTTGCGTGTGGGCCTGAGTTTGGGTAAGTAAAGCATAGACCCCACTTGCCACACAAAACCACGGCAATACACTAACGAAACGCGAGATGCAATCGCACGAGGTGCACACGGACTGAGGTATGGATCTACAAGCGCGTACAAGATATGGGAGGGGGATATGTTGCTGCGGCACTTTGCACCTGCGTTGGAAAGGTGGTTAGTATGTATCAATGAGCTACATGGATGCGCTGCTAAAGTAACATAAAAACTAACGGTAGATAACAACTAACATACCAGACACTACTCGGTTCTCTCACTCTCTCTTTCCTGTCAGTCTGAGTTGATCTCGTACAATCGATGCAAAAGGCTGTGTTGTCATTCTGTTTAAGCACAAGGCTCAATAGTTCGCGCAATGGGAAGACACTTTAGTTGGATATAAGGAAGCAATTAAATAAGCTAGGCTGGGCTACTTACAACCCAGCAATATTATTCGAAAAGTACATCGGTGTACGCCTGTACACTTCCAGTACTGACTGAAGCCGAAATATTTAAGAATATCACACCAAGGCGAAGAGTGTGTTGAAGGGCGGACAATACTTGCTGTGGTGGCACGTCATCTATAGCTTCAACTTGGTATTTCCACGACAATGTCGAACGTAGAGTCCACGGGCAGAGCTGGAAACAAAGCAGGTACGCGCAAACTTAGTATAAGCTCAGAATGAATTGACCTAGCCATAAGCATTTATTTAACTTATCGTACAGCATATCGTGTCTAGGCGACACTTGTCTAGGAAACAATTTCATCCAAACACATTTCTAAGATCTTGCTTTAAGGTAATGATACTGATTCTAGTCGTAGATATATTAATGGTATATATAGAATATCCATACGATCCTCACTTCTTTCGCACATACCTATTGTTTACGCAGCTTCGGGAGGAACGAACACCAAAACAGAAGGTGCCGGGCACGCTCCATCCAGAGGAAAGCTGTCGTTCAAGGAGATCATGTGGGCCACTGCTGCAGGCAGTCAAGTCTCCAAACCGTTTGCAGAGCTCAAAGGCTTGCAACCCGGGAAGATTGCGATTCAGGTAAGTTTGTTTGGGTATATATTTTTAGGTACTCCGTGAGGTTAGATGAAGAATAACGTCGGTTTGTGTGGCTGTTGATCTGGATTGTGCATGATATCTCTGTCTTTTAGATATCTGGATATAGGCTATATTTATCTATTGATTGGTCCATGTTAGAACCAGAATGTGTATGATGCTCGAGATTGCACTGCAACATTTTGCCTTCATTACTTCAATTACATACCCGTATTCGTAACTTCTTCTGTTTTCATATTAACATAGCCAAGAGAGAAGCTTAGCCGCTCGGGTACTGGTGACAGTGGTGTAGGTCCCTCACGTCAGACGTCTGGAGAGAATGTAGCTTTAAGCAAGCAATCAAGCACTGATGGTGACAGTGGTACACCACCGGATCACAACACCCCAACAAAAGACAAAGAGACTAAGAATGGGAAGGGGAATGGGAATGGCAGAAAGAAAACTACGACACGCCAGAGTGATCGAGATGCTGAGGAGAAAATACCTTGGACTCAAGAAGGAAACAACCCTGGAGGACGTGAACAGCAGGAGCAGAAGGCTAAGACGGCGAAAGTTGGGTACGGTGTCGTACGTTTACATTTTTTGTGTTCTTGCAGTAAACTTGTGTGCAGTTTGACAATGTCAAACACCAACGATACCTTGTATACTGATATATACACTGTAAAACTCTTACTCCCCTTACATTACCAGGCTGTCCGCGCTGAGTGACAACTGGAACCAAGGTGCCGGAGAGTTGTGGGGACTCAGTATCGCTACCACACAGAAGCTGTCTGAAAATCTGCAATCGATGGACATTCACACCGATCCATCGGGTACTAAACGTGCGGATTCGCCTTTCTCTCAGGCATTGTCTACGGCCTCGGCTGACTTGAAGGTGCGTGTAAGACTGTGAAGGTTATTGACGTCTTTTTCGGCTGTAAATATTGTTTCCTGCAGCCTTATTGGTGCCCGCACTGTGAGACTTCGTGGCATTATCGGGTTTTTATTGAAATTTTGTATAGCAACAATATTGAAATCTTGTTGAACTACAAGTGCGTTGCCTATATTTCGGAAACAGACCCTTCAGGATATCGGTGCATACTCCCGTATAGTGCCAACTTTCGACAGGGACAGTCGGTTTTGATACACCTATTATGTCCACAGTGGGGCTTACGCCCATAAGCAACAACTACGCCTAGGCTGCTTTTCAAACGTTCAACCCTTCACAGAAGGAATCTAACACACACAAGAAACTGCACAAACCACTGAAAATTTCTATATACACAGGAATTGTCGCGGTCGCATTCAACCGTGGAGGCCGAATTTTGCGCTACGAATATAAGCCGGTCACTGTGGAGCTCTGCAAGCGCCGGTCAGGCAACAGGTAAACATATTTGGTGGTATCTATGTAGATGACTATCCTTTCACCATTACTGGTGCGGTCGATACAATCTAAGAAGCTTACATATACTTTCGTCACTGTGAGCACGTTTGATGTATTCAGTGCATTTTTTTTGTTTCAGACGAACAATAGTATGTCGATTCGTAAGTAGTGTACAGTCTTGACGTGATGATGCAACTCGGGAATGCATTCGATGTAGTTGGTGGGTTTGTCGACCTACTGTATGAGCTATTTTGATGTGTTGGATGTATGAGCGCTTCCGTTGTCCATCGACGTGTCGTTGTGTGGAATAGGGCTCAGAAGCGAGATTTCATATATTCTCTTTTCAATGCCCTGCGTGTGTCACAGCTAGAACGAAGAGTTAGTTAGTTCACTGAAGTACAACTATATACATATATACATTGTACCTTCGTGTCTAATGGTGCTCCTCACGTCTAGTAATACCCGCTATGTCTATTAAAACATTCCCCATATGAGTTAATACCCTTCAAACTTCGCAGGAAAAGGCTTTCTCGGTTACGCTAGTCGCTAATCTGGTCTCTGCCTGCACGGATCATAAATCACATATCTATTAGAATTTCGACTTTCGTATCTGAATGTACGCACCCTGTCCATCAATATTTCTCATGTTTCCATAGGGGAAGGCACCGCAGGTATGGTTGGTGCTGATCTGGCATCCGAACGTGTCGGGCAGAGGTCCACGCTATCCAGACCTCTGTCTGATTCTGTACTACGATCAACCCCTGTGGAGACCTCGCAGCTGAAGGTGTGCACAATGTAAATCATATATACTACATGTGCAATGTATATGCGGTAATCGAGTACTACGTGTATACATTTGAAGCTCTAGATATCTATGGATATAGTATACTTCACATCTATGCTGATAAATTAAGCTATATTAAGCTCTCAGAGGTTCACATATCATTATTTTTATATATGAGGGTCTTAAGTAATTCTTCACTCAACTGAATTTTTCTTTGTTCTATGTATCCCACATTTGCTACTTTTAACCACGCGTAGATACCGAAACAAGAATTCAAACCCAATACGCCGGAGTTTGTATTGCCACAGATGCCACAGATGTCTCAGTCTCAGTCTCAGATGCAGATGCAGACACCCGGGCCGGAATACTATCAACACGGTGACTATCCCCAGCAACAGAACGACTTCATCTTTCAAGAGGGGCCGTGGTACCCGCAGATGGGCTCAGGAGGTATGCGTTTAGTGGGCTTATTACATAATAAGTGTATTGGTTTCTATGCGGGCATACATATCAATATTTGGTTATGTGCGTATGTATCTATATACCGATATGTGGAAATCCGACGACATTAGGGCGACGTCATCTCTCCGCAAAGGTCGTGGTACTGGCAGTTGAGGCCAGGAGTTATGCGATACATGGGTGAACCATGGGGTCATTTACCGGGGTTAAGGATGTGGATTTCTATTTGGATGGTCATGTTGATAGCGTTGCAATGGTCATATTTTAGGGTTTTCATAGTAGGAATATTCGAGGATCTACACGTTAATAGCGTGTGCATGTCTATACCGATAATTTTGATATCCTACTATCTCGGTTCTTTTCCTGCCATTCCTGTACGAACCTCACCCATCTCAGGTGAAGAATCGTACGCCAATCACGAAGGAGAGGTCTTATACGACAGTGGTGAATTTTGAATCTATCATCAGACCCTTTTCTATCACTAATAAACTGCGGTTCTATCGAGTTCAGGTGGTGCGGCACTATGCCTTATACCATTCGGACCCTTTTCTACCACTCAATATATCACAGCCCCATCCATCCCAGGTAATGGGTCGTACACCAACCATGGAGGGGAGGTCGTATACGACAATGGCGATCGGAATAGATACTCGCAGCAACACCACACACGCGCACCTATGGATGCGATCATCAGTCCGACAGTGGGGGGGACAGGTCACGGTGAGCGGTTTCGATTGATCTGTGGGTGTGTGTTGTGTTTATTATACTCGATTGGGTGAGAATATGAGAAGTCAATATTTGATTGCGTCTGTGTGTGTTATCACACCACGCTACATGACGGCGCTGCCATACATGAAAGTTCAAGTGTACATGTGTGGTTCATTATGTTTATAGTTTACCTGATATGTGTGATGTGATGTATTTGTGCTGTATGATATTTTTTGTATGTACCTGTTTCGTATATGTTTGTATGTCCGATATTTATGCACAGCTCACCTATTTGCACTTAAAGACGATATATGTGTGTGCGCGTTGCAATGAATCTAGATAATTATTGCTGTTGCTAATGAAGATAGCTGCACACTTGCGATTCTGTATATATATTGAAATCATACATGTAGTAACATGTATATTGCTATACATGTTTGTTTGAAACAGAACTACATACCAGGGTTGACCAGGGGTACGACTGTGTCAGCGTAACAAGCAACTGGAGTATCGACTCCGCGCCCTTTGTACCTCAGACACACCTGCAGCACCAAAGACCCGCGCAGCCACAGGTATGCGATCGGTACTGTATTTATGCACTTCGCCTGCCATGAACATCCATGGCGAAATAGGTCACGTTTGTAAATACATGTATATAAATCAAATATTTGATATTTCATCTTGGTATAGATATTCGTGTAATCATATATAACATGTGTTTGTACTTAGAAGACTGTATAGATGGTGTGTGTGTTCTCCAAACTTATACGTTCAGAGATGTATCTACCGCATCAATGCTTAGTTTCGCGTGCGTTCTCTCGCTCATAGCCTGATGTGTGTATAATTCGACTACTGTTCCTCCGTTATTAGTCAACGTATAAAACATAAATTTATGAGTGTGTAGTGTTTCGCCTTTGGTTTCACTCCATGTTGGTGTATCTCAGAAGAATTCACGTACGCATATATCATTAAACGCAGCTACCGGCAACTATACTCTACCATATTGCCCCAATTTTCGAGTTCTATAAATAAACTCTTGTGTCTGATTCTGAAATTAAACTCACAGCGCCCGCAAGTGCTGTCCGCGTCGTCATCGAGCGGTCAAGAGCAGTCTCGCGGTAGGTTTGATTCCGTCAGGTCTCAGTTGCACCCAGCCTCGACTACAGGTGAGCTATAGATAGATATAATAAGTACTTGGGCTTCTATCTGGGGATGTCTCTCTTAACGACCGGTTAGTCTACCTATGGTTAACATTTGGAGGTTCCTCTACTATACCCAATCAAATGATCACCCAGGCTGAATTCCGGTTCCGGAGAATACTCCACTCCATAAGTAATCTCAGATGTTTTGAACCTATCGTCACGTAATTCAGTTTTGTGCGTGCTGCTGTCGTTGCTATGAATTGGTATAAAATGAAGTACCGAGTATTCCTACACTTGAAGGTTAAATATATTTTTATGCCAATCACCTAGATCCTCTGTAAGAACTAATTATTTTGGTTTCTTTTTGGGTGACTTAACCAAATCCTGCATCAAATTTGGTTCTAATCTGAAAAAAGGGTTTTATTTCGCCCACTAAGCGTGGCATGTATATAGACTACCACTTAGGCAGTACGTGCGCGCCAAAACCTTGTTTTCCTTTCATACATCTTGTTAATTGTCTTCCTTAAACTTTATTTTAGGATAGCACGCTTGTACCAAAATATTGCACAATAAACATGTAGTTTGCTCATCTATCCTTTCAATTCTTCATCGATCAGGGGATCGAACATTTCGTCTATACACAGAGGTGTACCGAACTTTCATGTGCGACAACCGCAATTGCACTCACAGCGAGGGTGACTGCTACGGTGCGCATTACGCTTCAGAGTTGAGAGTAAGTATGCTCGTTTTAGGGATATCTTATATATA